CGTCTGCACGACGATCTCGACGGCGATCGCTGGTTTTTGCATGAACTCACCTCGCTTCGCTGGCTCGTATTCGTGGGACTTTGGCGTGCACACGATGTACATCATCCTCTGCGTGCCGTGCATCGCGATGCTCCCGATCACGTACTTCTTCATCAAGGACCACAAGCACGAGGCCGCCAAGTTCTCCGAGTACATTGCGCAGGTCTGGCAACTCATCCAGAAGCGCGCCATGTGGCAGCTCATGCTCTTCAACTTCTTCTACAACCTCTTTGGGGGTGGCTTCTCGTCGACGGCGGCGCCGTACGTGCAGCTGCACTGGGCCAAGGTCGAGAACCTCAACAGCCAGATCATGACGATCGTCTCCAACCTCATTTTTGCTTGCATTGTCGCGTCCATCGGTCGTTGGGGCACCAACTGGAACTGGCGCATCGTCGTTGTGTCGACCACCTTGACGACAGCCTGCATCGACTCGGTCGTGCAGTTTTTCACCTTTTACGACGTTCTCCGCAACCAGTGGTTCTACCTCGGGGTGCCGTTGGCCGAGCAGCTGCCGCAGGGTGTCCTCTTCATCGTCACGACGTTCATGATCGTCGAGCTCGCCGGGATCGGCAACGAAGGCATTGTGTATGGTCTCCTCACGACGGTCTCGAACCTCCCGTCGGCCGTCGGTCCCGTCCTCTCGAACCGTATTTACTCCAACTTTGACGTCGACGAGGACGCGATCATCTCGGACACCAAGCACGTGCGCAACCAGGTCGCGTACACGTACATCATCTACTACACGGGCTTCATCATCGCCTGCTTCACGTCCTTCTTCCTCCCCAAGCAAAAGCTCCAGCTCCACGAACTCCAGCGCACGGGCGGTCAGTTCCCGTTCGTCGGCGGCTTCGTTCTCGTCTTCTGCTTCTGCATGCTCGTCTACTCGATCACATGCAGCATCCTCTCCATGTTCGAGTCGACGTCGTGCTTGCTCATTGCTGGTGGCGACGGCTGCTAAGATGATGTACTCAATCCCAATACATATGTTTGTGTGCCGTCCATCGTCCCAAACGGTCGTCTTCACATGTAGAAAGGCTGGAGCCGCCGCAATTATAGTTTCGACCGGATTCGAAGCCACGGAGCGAAAAACTCAAAAGCTCGGATATGGCGGTGCGAGGTAAGCGCGATGGTAAGCTTGTCATTACTGCTTCGAGTGAGTGAACTTGCATAATTGCATTCTGACTCTCGACTTGCTTGTCCTTCGACGCTCGTGCGACTATCCCGCAGCCAGCCACTAACTAGTACGAGCGGGCTGGTTGTGGCTGGCCAACACTTGAGTGTGCGTCGCGTCACAAGCTAAGGAGCTCCCCGTCGTCTCAGTGCTGCACACTCTCGAGCTGGCTGGGCTCACTCAGCTGCCAAATGCAGCCTGCGGTTGAAACACATCGGGAGAACGCGGCCGAGGTGGCGATGCACCAGGTTGAGGCGACGGCGTGCAACTGTAGTGTGCTTCAAGGTCGGTTGATCACAGTGTATGGTGGCGATTTCCAGCCACTCGCGTACCGTGTCCCACATCGCAGCGTGACGGTTGCATGCGACACGTCATCATTTCTGCGTGCCATTCTCATTGACAGTCGAGGCTAAACCAGTGGCGCCTTGGCTCTGAGGACAGAGAGGAGAGATGAGCGGCCACCCGATTAGACCTAGCGACTACAACTAGCGACGTAGCGTCCTGTGCCGTCGAAATGACGTGCGGGACGATGCGTCGGCGCGTTTATGCGACACGAAGATCTGTCGTGGATGCCATCGAGAAGGGCCATTGTCTCTCGAAGCGAGAAGAAGGCCAGATCTAATTATACCCTGCCGTGATGCTAACCTTCCAGTCCACGCTCGAGCGCAATGCGTTTCCCGTATGGCGCGACCACTACGTGAGCTACCTCGAGCTCAAGGCGCTTGTGCAAAAGCTCCAGCGGCGCGCGACCTTTCTGCGGCGGCACGCAACAGGCAACGAGGCGGCGCCGTGCCTCCCGCCCGAGGCCAGCGACTTTGAAGCTGCGTTCGTCGCCAACTGCGTCCGTGTTGAAGATTGGTACAGCGCGCGCCTCGACGAGTTCTCGGCTCAGTTTGCACTTGTCGCGCGGCAGTGGGATGCACTCGCAACAAGCAGCGACGACGCCAAGTCCAAGACGCTCAAAACGTCGTGCATTGAGCTCCACCGCCTCGTTCACGGCCTTTACAACTACGCCCGTCTCAACTACACGGCGCTGCGCAAAATCCTCAAAAAATACCTCAAGAAATGCCCCATGGCCAGCGCCAACCACGACAAGCTCCAAACCGAGCTCCATTGCCAAGCGTTCGCGACCGCCGAGGCAGCGCAACGATTGGCGGCAGACCTCGAGGCCTTTTACACGGTGTCGTTCCACGACAATGACCGCGTCCTCGCGCTCTCGGAGCTCGACGGCTGGAAGGACGACGCGCTCGACTGGCGACACGTGTACATTGGCTTGAAGATGGGCGTCTGCTTGGTGTTGACGCTCTGGGTCGTTTGGCACTACGTGTTCTCGGCGGTCAGCTCACGCGTCGTTTTGTACGTCTCGGTGTCGCGCGATCCCTTCTGATGGCTGCGTAGGTCGCAGACCAAGGCGTACCCTGTCTACCGCGGCGTCGCACTCCTTCTCTTCTTCCACTGGCTCTGGGGCCTCACGCAGTTCGTCTTGCGCTCGGCCCGCATCGACTATCTGTACGTTCTCCGTTGCTTCATCACGCCGACAATGGTCGCTTGGACTAGTTCCTATCGAGCTCGACCCGCGCACGACCGCCGACTACA